CACTCTTTCCATGATTGCCTCTGTAGCTGTTGTACACAATAGTTATATGCCGACTGATTATCAATAAACTCCTGGGTCATAATTACTCGCCTTAACATTAAAAAAAAATAAAATAAAAAGAAACTATAAAAAAAAACTCTTTTTGTTGATTATTTGAATCATACTTTTCAAAAAGTTAAATTACAAAAAAATAGAATACTGTACATGCATAATTAGATATTAAAATAGAGTTGAAAAGAGTTGCAGTTTTGTAATAACAGTTTAAAGAGCACTCTAAAACTATAAAAGAAGTAGTTAATAAAAGTCAAGATTTTTCAGTAAATAAACAATAAAGTTGAATATATTAATTCTATATAATTGTAAAACCTACAAGAAATATCTACAAGAGTCAAAGACTTACAGAAATTAAAAAGGTAGTTTACCTAATACTTCTAATTTTTTTTAAGAAAAATTTTTATAAAAGTAAGTAATTCAGTTTACCTTCTTCTAAATATTGATATATAAAATCATCAAAACAGTTAGCAGTGTTTATTTTCTAAATAAGATTATTAATAACATAAATCAGAAATAATACAATAATATAAAAATAACTATTTACATGTTTTGAGCTACTAGAAATCTGTTAAATATTGCTTTCAGACTAACCAGTGCTCTATGCTAATTTTTTATAATAAAGTATTTTTTTTTATTTTTTGTTAAATAATTTAAATAAATAAAAAAATAGTAGAGTAATTTTTATTTAGTATAGTTTATAATTTTTAAAAGTTCTGCACAGGCTTATAATTATAATTGTTTAATATTTGTAAATTGCAAGTTTCACACTCTACATAAATTTAAAATTCTGATTATCTGATTTTTTGTGAATTGCAAGTTTTATACTTTTTTTTCATTTATTTCTTTTCTTTTTTATTTTTTGTTTTATATCATTTTATTATTTATTTTATTTTTTTTAATATTAAAGTCCCTGTCTTTAAAGATTAATGTTTTTATTCAAGTATTTGAACATAGATGACTCTAGAGGTTTTCATATATAAGAGGTTACAACTAGCCACATATGTACTTTTGATGTCTAATTTAAGTAGTCTATCTATATATTACTATACAGGTTCTACACTAGGTGCCATACCTGCAAGCCAACTATAGGTCTTGCCTATTTAAGAGTAAGGTTATGTAAATCATTTTTATTTAAATTTAATATATACTATTAATAAAACTTTTTTATTTTTTAATTAAGAATTTTGTTATTTACTATTGGTAATAATCATCATTAGTAATACAAACTATTTTTCACATGATCATGAAATATGAGAATCAAACAACTTTAGTTAGTTGAATAATCATCAACTATATAGTTAAATAATATTTATTAGAATAAGCATATGCATTTCACATAAAATTCTAATATTATAATAAATTATTTATAATATCTCATATAAGAATCAATTAAATGACATTAGTATTTTGTACAAGATACATATCTAAAAGCATGATACATATTTGAAATCAAGCTCTTTAATTATATTAAATCAGCTATTCAACTAAAAAAAACTGACTGGTTGATTTGAACAAATAATTAATAATTACATATATGCTACAAAGTAATTATATTGATCAAAATCATTAGTATAATATGCACTAAACAAAAACATAGATCTCAAAGCAACTTTGAAAATTATTTTATCAACAAAATTTTTCATATATCTTACTTTATATATTGCCAAAATTGCTAATAAAATGATTATTTGAAAGTAGGCATTGAGAGATTATTCACAAATAGTTTGCCTGCCAAATATATAGCAATACAAAACTTAAATTTGGCAAGCAAACATAATGATGATAAATAAATAAGATTTTAGCTTGTCAATACATAATAATAATAAGCAATCAATAATAAGCAATTAATAGCAATAACAAAATAAGCTTTCAGCACCTAACAACAAGTGAACAAAATTATAACTGCAAATGCATAACTCTAACTTTAAACTCGATCTAACTATAAATACCTAACCCTAACCAAATAGCTATATATATATAATTCTTACTCTAGCCAAAATTCATTACAAATACCAGTTTCTCTACTATCTAATAATTCTTTTTGTCAGCTAGATCAAATTTATACTTTGAACATCTACAAATATTATGACCTTTACCTAAACAGTAACTGCAAGTTTTAGAAGATAAAATATAATGTTTATTATGTTCTTTAACAGATGACTTTAGCCATTTAGAAGGTCATTCTCTCAGCTTATGATATTTTGGATTGGACATCTCAATATCATTCAAAAGTTATATTATTTAAATAGTTGTAAAAAGTGCTAATGATAAGTTAAAAGCAAGTTTTACAATTTTAGAAGTTATATTCAAAGGTAATGTTTCTTGTTTTACAACTTTAGTGAAAAATATACTTGGAGATAAGAATATTTTCTTTATGTCTAGCCCAGTATCACAATAATATTTCATGATGAATTGTACTAATACTCTGGTTAATTCTTCAGTAACACCTTTAGAGACTGCAACTTGGACACTAGTTTTGGCCACAAACATCATTGCACCAAATTGAACTTTTTTGTTAACATGCTCTTTAATAGTTGGTATATAAACATCACTAATTTTTAATTAATATAATGTAATAGTTTAGTCATAATACTTTCTACACCTTAAAAGATTGTAATAAAATTCATAATATTAGATGAAAATAAATTGAACTAATAGGTATAAAAAAGTGATATATAAAATATTGCATTGCTTAAAAGAATAAAAACCTGATATTAATGTTAACATATCATTCCTTGATTTATAATTTGCATACAAGTACAAAGCAATGTTGAGTCATTAAGAATAGCAACATAATATGATGTTGAAGCTGATGCAATATATAATACTTTCCAAATCTCTTTAAGTGCATTAGAAGATATATCAGTTATAAGTTCCAATAAACAAATTTGAGATGTATCATATAATCATTCAATTATATTATTATTATTAACATTACATTTCTTAACCTGGTTAATTGAAACTAAAGTTGCTTGATATAATAAAGCTTGATTTATTTGAACTCTTTGTAGAGATAATAGAATAGGTGCCAATTTAGTTTCTAATACAGAATCAATTTTTTTAAATATAGTATTATAAATAGACACAAGACTAACAAATAAATTGAACCTATAATAATCAGCAATCCAAGTATATTGTGCTTTTTTTTCTAACTCTTAATCAATAGCATTTACCAATTCTTTTAATAAAGTATTATAGTTAATATGCTTTTTAATAATCTCAATAATAGATTTGACATACTGAGTAAATTCTATTCCTATTGTAAATATCTTAACTACTAAATATCTTGCTCATAATATATGATTATTATAAAGCTTTTTAAGATATGAATAACATAATTCATATTTTATTAATATATTATGCTACTTTAGCTCAAATTACTCTTTACTATAGCTGTTTTGCATATAATAAAAATTATTAACAAACTGTTTCATCACATTACCTTTGAGCTTGGCTTTTGCTTTCTTTTTAATATTTTCAAAAAAATAATAAATATATAACATATGACATGTTTGCAAATAGGATACATGAACTGTAGTATTCATTGCTATATTATCATCAGTAAACAACATCTTGGGCTAAAGATTATTAGTTGCTTTTAATATATATTGTAAAATCCAATTGTAATTAGCCTGAGTCTCATAGTTAATTAAAGCTTGGGCAATAATTTTTATTTTAAATTGTTATTAATACTAACAAACAAACTAAAAGTCATCTCATATCTGTTGGCCTTTGCTATATTATTATGAATCACAACATTATAGAATCTTGTCCAAAAATTATTGCATTGTTGACTGATCATTTAGAAGAAACCAGTAAGTTCATTAGATGGCTCTTTAAGCTATAGTATAACTATATAATTAGGATCAAAATCATGTTGCTATAAAAGATATAATTTTTTTTTTTTTCACTTTGGCAGTCTTGCTGATACTCTTTATTAAGATTTCTGTTTATATATACAAACATTTTTAGACTTAATGTGCTGAGTCGACATCCTGCAGTTACTTCTATGAGCACTTACAAGTGATCTGCTGCACCAGTTGCCTAATTTCTAAAGAAAAAAGGGGATCTGGGGGGCTCATCCGACCACTGTCCTACAATAGAGTATTACCAATCTAATAACACTTTCTTGTAGGGAAGTGAAAGAAGAAAAAAAACACTAAACTAAACTAAACTAAAAGGGATACAGGAAGAAAAAAGCAAAAGAAAAAAAGTGTCAGGGAGCACATCTTATTCGTGACCATTTAGGACACTAGCACTTTAAATCTGTGCTAAGGATCTAACTACACTTTAACCTATGCTTAAGGGGTAAAAATTTTATATACATGATTTTAGGAATTACTATATATCTCTAATTTGTTATAATCCTCCAACTTAAATCCTTCTTTGTTTCTTCATTATACTATATGTTAGGCTATACACATGATTGTTGTATTCCTATTACATCATGTCACAACACATAACTGTCCGAAAAAGGAAGTGGTAAACAATGCCGATCTTTTGTAGATAGGAGCCAATTTTCCCACTTTTGAGTAAAAAAAACAAAATAAGTAGAGAAGGTTGACAGATGTGATATGCGAAAAGCCAAACCAAAGAGAGTGTTTCCAGTTGTTTGTTTGTTTTCAAGCTTTTGATAACCTTTAACCAGAGTTTTTCTTTATTGTTTCCAGAATATCCTTTTGGTTTGGGTACTAAACATGTTGGGGAGTCTACTAACAGACAAGTCTTGACCTTAACACAAACTACCAGAAGAGTCGCCCGCACTTCGGTTTTTTCATATACTTCTAGTTTATTAGCAACAATCTGCTTTATATATCTAAACAGAATCAAAGATATTATCATCTTAAAAGCATACTCTTCAAACTGTTTTGGTGCTAGTTTGGTTTAAGTGATCGTTGGGAAGAGTTGAATTAATGAATGGCTATAAAAGATATAATAGCATTATGCTTGCATCAAATTCATTATAAATTCATATACTTTTAAACTTATAGATTGCATTATACAAGTTTTTTTTTTATATGATATTAAGAAAATTCTTTGACAAGAAGATTGTACTGCTAACTAGCATCTAAACAACTATTTGCAGTATAATGTTCAATCTTATTCAGAATTTCTTATAGAAGATATAAATTTTTTGACACTAATTTAATAGTTGCTTCATCACAGCTATGATTATGCTTATTATTAAGTTTAGTAAGCTGTACTTTTTTCTCATACTTTCCAAAATAAAAACTAACTCTCTATTTGCAATTTGTTTTACTTGAACTATTATTACAGTGCAAATTTATATCTTTGATCTTTTTTGGTTAATAAGTTTCTGCTTTCTAGCAATTGTAAGTACATCAATAAACAATAGACTTATCAACAGAGTTAAGATTTTAATAGTTTTTATTGGCTACAAAACTATTTTGCTTAGCAAATAAATCAACAACAGCTTGAACATAGTTCTAGTCATTAAATAAATTCTCAACTTTTAATACTATTTCATTAACATTTACATTATAGTCATCAGTATTATTTCTATTTGTATCATTATTACCAAAATCTGGTAAGTGGTTCTTCACATCATCTTTATAATCTAATAGATGTTCCATTAAGCTTGTAACTAAGTGAAAAGAAAACAAAGCTATTAGTTAGTATAGTTTTGCAAAAAAATTGAATATATGAGAGCATAAAGAAAGATATAACTAAAAAGAAATAAAATACAATATTACCAAAGCCTGATAAGTGATTCTTTATGTCATCTTTGTAATCTAATAAATATTCTATTAGTCTTGTAACTAAGTAAAAAAAAAACATAGTTAATATAGTTTTGCAAAAAAATTGAGCATGCAAAAAAATTAACAGTTATAGTTAAAACAAAAATTATACAAAGAAAGATATAATTAAAGAGAAGTAAAATATGATAAAGAGTTCATATAGCTTAAATTTAAATATGAAATACTAGAATAGAATGCAAGAAAAGTTAATTATATCAATTTCTAATGCAATATCTTTATGATACATAACATATTGCTAGTAAAAGTTATAGTTAAAGCTAAAAAAAATACATAAAAGTAAGTTAAAAGTAAAAAATACAGTAATTAAAAGTAAAGGGCTGTAAATTCAAATATGAAATAGTTAGACACTTAAATAACTGTAAAAAGAATAAAAAAAAAAAAATTATTAATAAACTATTTCTGTATAACATGTATTGAATATACTAGGCACATGATACTGATGATAATCACTAATAGTGATTCATGGTAATTTTCTTTAATTAATTAATAAAAATTTTTATAATATTATAAATAAAATTATTTATCTATTCTAGTAAAATTTTGAAATATTGTATTATTTTAAAAAAATATACTTGTATATATAATAAAGTTTACTTAAATAGGTTAAAATTTACTTAGATAACACAAAAATGAAAAATTTAATTAGTTAATTTATGTAAACTTATTAGTTAATTTTATTTTATAATTTTATTTTATAATTTTATATTCTAATCTTTAAAAATTCATATCTTAATGAGTTTTTAATCTATTTTAATAATTTTACTATTATTAGAATTAGAAAGACCTACTCTACAGCTTTTACTTAATGCTTAAAATTAGTTTACTTAATATAATTTTTTATAAAATTAAATATAAAAAAAATTTATCATTAGGTTTATATATAATTTTAAAATACTTGCCTCTATCTTTAAATCTTTTGCATATGTAGTATTATAGGAACATCTTTTAAGTTACATTTATCCAAAGTATCTAATGCTTTTAAAACTCTTAGAACTAATTTATCTTTAACAAAAAACTTACTAAAACCTTCTGTGTCCTATATACAGCTGATCTAGTTTTATCAGTCAAGGAATATGTTATATCTGTTTATATATGAGTATTAGTTTATAATAAAAATTATAATAAAAATATATAAATTTACTATAGTACAGAACAGCAAAAGACATCCAATCAATACATATAAGTGCTAATTTTTGGTTCTTATATAATCAATTTTGATTGGCTAATTTTTATGTAATTGATTTTGGTTGGTTAAAAATATATATATGTTTTCTTTTTTTTTATATTAAATGTTAATTTTTTAAACTCATATAAACTTTAATCTTTTATAACTTTTTTAAAACAAAGAATAAAAAAAAATTCTTTAACAAAAATATACTTTATCCAAAAATCTATCAATTTGTCAAAGGTTTTTTTTGATTTAACCTGTTTTAAAAAAGTTATAACACTTTAAAGTTTTTATTAATAAACCTTAGATGTTTTTTACTATCTAATACTGTATAAACTTTAAATTTTAGATTATTTTTAATTTACAAATTATTTTCAAATTTTGGAATTAAGTATATCAAAGATAGTAGATTAAGATTATTTAGAACACTTTTTTAAAATTTTATAAAAATTGTATATTTTGTTAATAAAATTTTATAAAAAAAAATTTTTTAATTATAAAACTATTATTATATATAAAATTTTATGTCAAACAAGTTTACTTAAAGAATAAAGATAGGCTATTTTAGTAAAAAAAAAAAAAAACTCTTTTTATAGATTATTAAAAACAAAAAGTAAACCAAAAATGGTACTAAAACATTGAACATATTAACTAAAATATAATAAAAGATACTTAAAAAAAAAGAAAATAAACTCTCAGAATATCTAAAACTTATTCAATATAGCCAAAAGACAAAGAACTCAACCACTAAACTACAAGACTTCAAAACTTCTTCCAATACTGACTCAGTGCTGTTATCTTCTTAAATGAATCTCTATAGGACCTTTGTTCAGCTAAACACCCAAGTTACATTATCTACATCTCAAGCTTTCCAAAATGAAAGACTCAAAAAAAATGTAAAACTAGGAACAAACTTCTCTTCTTTAAAAAAAAATAAAACTAACAACTCTAACTTTTTTGTTTCCTTTACATCCTATTCTCATCAAAAAAATTTAACAAAAAGTGAACAATCTAGTTTATCTTTTATAAAATTCAGATGACATTATACATTATAGTTACCAAAACAAATATGCCTAAACTAGCAAATATTTTTATATCTCAAAACTTCATTATTACATTATTTGATCCATTATACTTGGCATCTGTATCTAATAGTTTTATTTCAAAAAACAACCCATAGAACTCTAAACCAATTACACTCACAAAAGCTCTACCAACTCAAACAACCTTAATACTAACTACACATATTAACAATATAAACATTATTTTTAACACTTCTAATGATTACCAACCTGTTACTAATAAATCTTATAGCAAAGCAGTAACATCAAACTTACTAAAACCAAAAAACAGCACAACTTTCAATTGGTATAATTCTGTAACTAAAGCTCTTGCAACAAGATGAGTACTTAACTTTGATCTTCAAAATTAAAACAATAATAAAATGATCAAAGCTCTCAATAACAAACAACAACTTTTAGAATTTTTTATTTACAAAATCTAAACTATTTCTCCAAATTACAATATCCTATATGCTATTAACCAAAAATTCAATTACTTAAATACAACATTTTTTTGCTCTTTTATAAGAACAAAAGCTACAGCTTCTCAACACCAAAAAAAATTCAACTCTTTATACCAAATCACTCTTGAAAAATATAAAAAATTATATAATGTTATTTTGATTAACAAATTTAATAGAGATCAAATTCACAAAAAACTTAAGATTAAATTTGCTTTAGATTATATTAGAAATTTGGATTTTCTTACAACTAGTCCTTACAAATGTACAAGACACATATTTTACTGCCTCAATCTTGCACAAATCTTTTGTACACTTATTTTTAAAGAAACACACAAACTTTTTAATAAAGCTCACTTTTAACTTCTTATTCTACTACTAACTTCTTTAGACCTAATTGACTAAAACATAAAAGAAATACTTCTCTTTTTACTTCCAATTGAAGATCAAAAATATATTTGAGCAACAGTGCTTGCACTTTATAAAATCTATACTTTCAACTAATTTAATGATAGCTACTTTGCTAACCTTATTATTTCTTTTTCTGACAATTCAACTAATCTAAATGCAGAAACATATATAATGTTTTCAATAACAAGCTGATCTAAACTACCCTACTAGCAAAATATAAACAAAAACTGCACAAATATTATAACTTTGATCAAATACTATCCAATTATTTTAACTTACTACCTACTTGAGAACCTTTATTATCAACACCTTAAGACCTTAACTTTGCTATAAGATATCTTTTTTCTTGCAACCCTAAAGATGCAACTGATTTCAAATGCTATGTAAATATTCTCCAAAAGCATTATAGTTTTCACAAAATTCCAAATGACTACTTTATCCAAAAAAAACTACTTTCAAATAAATCAAATCAAATTAAGATCTCTATCACTTATAATTTTTCTATAACTGATTATTATCTGGCAAAAGAATTTCTAGTAAAAATACAAGATACATACAAGTTCAACATCCTATTACCTTTATAGTATATGACTATTAATTTTACAAACAAACCTCAACTACCTATAGATCTCAATTTGATTACAGAGCTTAATCTAACACTTCCTATTGCAAGTTCTAAAATCCTAATAGAAACTGCTAAACAACTTTATATATACTACTTTTTCTATCAACTATCTACAAAATGAATTTTAATCAAAGATATTGCAAAAAAAAAAATACTAAACCAAACCTTCCTTCAAGTTTTGATGAAATCCAAACATATTTAAAAAAATTAGATTAATCACAAACTATTTAAAAACCAATAACAACACATAAACAAATAGCAAATAACATTTCTTAATTTTATAACTACTTTTTTTTTCAAGGTTTATTTTCTTAACTTTTTAAACTTTCCAACTTACCTAACCCTTACTGGAATAATTTTGATAACTACTCTCTTCAACCATGAGTATAATACAATTAAATTCTGATATATCATCTTCCCAAATAGACAACAACAACTCAACTAAAATACTAGATACTCCTACAAACAATTTTACTATATACATTAAGGATTATCTTAACATTGCTACTCATAATACTCAAGAACTCAATAATCTACTAAAGTTGCAAATCTGGCTTAAATATTGTGCCAAAAATAATTATCATATAATTTTTATAACAGAAACAAAACTAAAAAACTTTTCTTTTGCAGAACTCTCTAATATATTATATAAAATTTACATATCAAACTTTATACTTAAAAACAACTCTTAACATAAAACCAGTATAAGTACCACAATTATGCTTCATAATTCATTTCAACCCTACATATTCAACATTAAAACTGTTCCAAACATCACAATATGCATTGATTTTCACCTTTCTGCCAACAATAAACTTTGTATAATTTCATTATACTTATCTTCAAACCATCCAAAACAACTCAAATCTATACAAAACATATTTATAAATTGGTTAACTCAAGCAAAAAGTAATAATTAGTATACAATTACAATAGGAGATTTTAATGACAACTCCAATCGATGCAAACAATTAGCAAATCTATTTTTCTTATTCCAATTCTTATCAGCTGCAAGCTTATTAGAATTTTATACTATAACAGAATCTACATAGCAAAGAGGCTTAAATCAAAGTCAAATTAACAACATA